CCCATCTATTGGTTTTTTTGTTTTGTTTTGTTTTTTGGCAGTCCATGGTCTCTGCAGAACTCTACTGCAGCACCACATTTCAACTGAGTTGATTTTCTTCCTGTCAGCTTTCAGTACCATGCATAAAAACCAAAAATATGATGGCATGGATTATCTTAACTTTGGTATTAAATGATTTTGTCTTTACACTTGAGAATCTTATGTAGTTTCTTCATAGCTGCCCTTTCAAGCCCCATGCAGGGATAGCTGTGTTGGCCATTTAGCAAGTTCAAACAAAAATCCACCGAACAGTGATATGTTTATGGGTCAACCAAAATGCACATAGATCCTTATGGAGGCATATTGGATTGCAGGAGAAAGGTCCTTGTTGAGATGCAAATGGACTTTAAATTTCTTGGTCTTTGCAACTCTCCCAACAGCCACATAGCCAGAAGGAGGAGAGGCCAGCCTGCAAAAAATATACTCCACTTACCATCTTAACCAAGGACAGAAATATCAAAATGCAGGCATCTGACTAACATCTCCATTTTTTTCTCCTGTTTGGTTTGTAACATCTTGCCTGATGAAGAAGCCAATGGAGCTTCAAAAGCTTGTAAAGTCTATTGTGCATTTTGGTTGGCCGATAAAGTTGGATTTGGTGGATTTTTGTTTGAACTTCCAAGTCCCATTTTTCTTCAGGTCCCTTGACAGTGGTCTCCCCTTTGTCTTATGATTGAACCAAGGTATAGAAGGTCTTTGACTATTCACTGTCTTGATCATCCACTTTAAATCATCCATGGTTGTTATTTTTCTTTTCTTAACATTCAACTGCAACCCTGCTTTTGCATTTTCTTCCCTGACGTTCCTCAACAATCATTCCAAGTCTTTGCTCTTTTCTGCTAGTAGTATGATGTCCTACTGTTGGTGTTATTTCTCCTGTTTTCATGCTTCCTTTCTCTGTAACTAATCCAGCCTTCTGTATGGTATGTACTGTTTAGAAATTAAACAGACAGGATGATAAAATGACTGAGTATGCAGCAGCTTCCCAATGTTCTGGTTTACCCAGCATTTTATTTTCTCATAATGCAGCTGTCATGATGAGGAGCCATTGAAAGGTCTCACCTTGTTCTCCTCTTTTAAAGCTGTTCGGATAGGTGGCCATTTCACACTTTGTAGCTAGAAATTCCAGTAGCAAATTCTTTAAATTAAGGATGTGCTGTATGAAAAGTATTTCTGTTTTGTCCATCTTGACTCTCTTCTCATTGGCTATGTTGTGTTGCCTCGATGGGTTCTAATATTATGAAGAAACCTGACTTTGACAAGCATCTGCTAACTCAAGCCAGCCAAGTTATTTTGGCACGCAAGTCAGAAAATCCCACAAACCCCACTTCCTCCATCCTCAGCAGTCAAAATACAGCAGCAGATTAAATAACAATTTTCCCCATTTTGTGACACTCAGAATCTGTTTCCTGATATGGTTGCCTCATTCTGCATTAGCTCATAGAATCATAGACTCATAGTTGGAAGAGACCCCAAGGGCCATCCAGTCCAACCCCCTGCCATGCAAGAACTCTCAGTCAAAGCATCCCTGGCAGATGGCCGTCCAGCCTCTGTTTAAAGACCTCCAAAGAAGGAGACTCCACCACTCTCTGAGGGAGTGTGTTCCACTGTCGAACAGCTCTTAATGTCAGGAAGTTCCTCCTAATGTTGAGGTGGAAACTCTTTTCCTGTAGCTTGCATCCATTGTTGCGGGTCCTATTCTCTGGAGCAGCAGAAAATAAGTTTACTCCATCCTCAATATCACACCTCTTCACATATTTAAACAGAGCTATCATAACACCTCTTAACCATCTCTGCTCCAAGCTAAACATACCGAGGTCCCTAAGTGTCTCCTTGTAGGGCATGGTTTCCAAACCCTTCACCATTTTTGTTGCCCTCCTTTGGACACGCTCCACTTTTTCAACATCTTTTTTGAATTGTGTCCAGAACTGGACACAGTATTCCAAGTGAGGCCTGAACACAGCAGAATAGAATGGCACTATTACTTCCCTTGATCTAGACACTATACCTCTGTTGTTGCAGCCTGAAATTGCATTGGCCTTTTTAGCTGCCACATCACATTGTTGTCTCACGTTTAGCTTGTGGTCTACTAGGAATCCTAGATCCCTTTCCCCCTTATTATGCCTCCCCCCCCCCCTTGTTTTCCCCATCTGACAATCTCCTGGGAGAATGTAATTCCTGAAGAGGTACTGACAAAACTGAAGTAGAAACACCAGTGGTCTGTGTGACTGGGTACAAAGCAATTTATCTGTGTTTCAACTCATCCAATATTGTGTTTCTCACAATGTCACAATGTTAGCTGTCACAACTAGGAGCCATTCATAGGTCTCCCCTCTTCTGTGAGCCTTCTTCCTTTCCTCTGTTCAAAGCTGTCTACATTTGAGGACTGTCATTGCATCTTATGGGAATGAATTCCTTGAGTTAATAATGCACTGTGTGAAAAGTATTTTCCTTTTCTCTATCCCCTTTCAGTCAGCTTCATTGGACAAACTCATGGGTTCTAGCATCATGATCTGTAAATATCTTGTGTGTGTGTGTGTGTTATGTGCCTTCGGATCATTTCCAACTGGCTGGCAATCCTAAGGGCAAAGCTATCTTTTTTTTTTTTTGAAAGATTTGTTCAGAGGAGTTTTTCCAATGCCATCCCCTGAGGCTGAGAGCATGTGACTTGCCCAAGGTCACCAAGTGCAGATAAATCCTACCACTGCAATAGAATATGGGAAAGGATCTTCTCTGCTATGGCTCCCATTTATGGAATATTCTCCCCTTGGAGGCCTAAATCGCAGGGACACTGGTGTTACTCTGATGCCAAATAATAACATGGGTCTTCATTTAAAGCCTTTGGGGCTCAATTGATTTTATCCCAATCTGTGCATGTTCTTTTAAATTATCTAAAACTGGTTTTGCTGGTTGAAAACAGTCTTGTTTTGCCTTGACAGATTGTTTAGTATGCTTTTACGTTTAAGTTATTTACAAATTATTTTAATTTTAAATTAAAATTTATTGTAATTCATTTTAAATTAACTAATTGTAGGCTATCCTGAAGTCCTTGACTATGGACTTGAAATTCTGGCCGCTTATTGAAAGCCACTGGAGGAGGACTGGCTGAGTGAAAAAGAAAGGCGGTGAATGTTTTGCCTGCAGCAAGGCAGGTTCTTGGCAGGGTTACCTGTTATCAGTATTACTTTTTTTGGGCAAGGTTTTGGAGCGTGTGGTGGCCTTTCAATTCTGGAGATCCCTGGATGAAATGGATTATCTAGATCCATTTCAGTCTGGCTTCAGGCATGGCTATGGGACCGAAACAGCTTTGCGTTTTAGCACTTTAAATTTCTATACCGCGTTGTAGAGAACTAAGCACTTCCTAAGCGGTTTGCAATGTGTTAGCCCAGGGGTAGGCAACCTTTTTGAGCCGGGGGCCGGGTTGCTGTCCCTCAGGCAATTGGGGGGCCGAAGCACCAAAAATAAATAAATAAATAAATAAATAAAAATATTTTTTTTTAAAAATAAAAAATAAAAAAATATGCATGCACACTCTCTCAGACCCAGAAAAGCCATGGCAAAAGCCCTGTGGAGATTTTCCCAATAAAAGCCCAAGAACAAGTAATAACAACAATAATCAATATCATCATAGTGGGCGGCGGCGGTGGCGGTGGCAGGACCGGCCTGGGGCCAGTCCAAAGGCCTCGGGGAGCCGCATCCGGCCCCTGGGCCTTAGGTTGCCTACCCCTATGTTAGCCAATTGCACCCAACAAGCCGGGCACTTATTTTACCGACCTAAGGATGGAAGTCTGAGTCAACTTGGAGCCCTGCGGATCAAACTCACAACATTGTGGCTGCAAGTACCGGCATTTAACCGCTTTGCCCCCAGGGCTCCTTTGCTTTGGTTGCCTTGATGGATGACCTATGTGGGGAACTGGACAGGAGGAATTTGTCCTTGTTGGTTCTGCTTGGACCTCTCAGCAGCTTTCTGTCCCATCAAACATGGCGTCCTTCCTTCTAAGCTACCTCTCTGGGATAAGTCTGGGGGCACTGGTTTACACTGACTCCATTCCTTCTCAGAGATGTGAACCCAAAAGATGGTGTTGGCTGACTCCTGTTAACCCGGAATATTGGCCTGTAGGGTCCCACATTTTTCTGTTTTGTCACCCATCCTGTTTAGCATCTAAGTGAAACCTCTGGGAGAAGTCATCTGGAAATTTGGGGTTCCTTTTCACCAATGTGCAGATGATACTCAACTCTATCCCAACTTTCCATCTAATGGAAACTGTCTTGGTGATAAACCAGTGTCTGTTGTCAGTAATGGACTGGATGAAGGCAAACTAATTGAAACTTAATCCAGACAAAACAGAGCTTCTCCTGGTCAGTCAGAAGGCTAATCACGAAACAGGGATTCAACCTGTGCTGGACAGGATTATACTCCTCCTGAAATCTCAAGTTCATTGCTTGGATTCATTTCTGAGCTACATAGGTTTTGGTGGTGGCTAGAAATGCATTTCAACATCTAAAACTAGTGTGGCAGCTCCGTCCATTCCTTGATACGTCAGACCTGACACATGCCTTGATTATATCCTGGTTGGATTATTGTAACACACTCTACCTGGGGCTGCCCTTGAAAACTGGAGACTTCAGCAAATTCAGAATGCATCAGCTAGACTGCTGACGAAGTGGGATATGTTGGAGCAAAAAAATATTTTGTTTCCATTGTTTCTAGCCCTGTGGAGACCCATAGGTCACACCTGGGCCAAACTTTGCCCACCCTTAGTGTAGTGGGAATGAGCCTCAGGCACATGACAAGCTTCACCTGCAGGAATTCCTCTTCTTCTTGTTGTTGTGTGCCTTTAGGTCATGTCCAATTTATGGTGACCATAAGGTGAACCTATCATGGGGTCTTTTTGGCAAGATTTGTCCAGAGGAGGTTTGCCATTGCCTTCCCTGGAGGCTGAGAGCATGTGACTTGCCAATGATTAAGCTGGGAATTGAACCCTGGTCTCCAGAGTTGTAATCCAACACTCAAACCACTACACTACACTTTACTCTGTTGTTAAAGGTGCAGAAGCCCTCTCCAGTTTTCATCTAGCAACCTTAACAAGGCAGTATATAAATATTTTTATTAAACAAATACTAGAGGGGTATGTGGACCTGTGGGCCAGATCCTAAAGGCTGGTATTGGGAGCACATGGGTTTTTGGAGAGTAGTATATGTGAGTGAAAGGATGCTGATGTGTGTGTGGTGGATTGTGGAGGAAAGTGATAGCAAAGTGTTCCTTTGGATAACCAGGTTGGGATTTGTGGATGCACCAGATAGCTTAATGACAGGGTAAGAACTCTGGACAAAGTTTCCAGCTTGGTTTGATGGCTAAGGATGTATTAAAATTGGTGTCGTTGTGTCCAGCTGCAGAGTTTTCCATACCCACCAGCATTTCACAAATGAAAACCGGGGCATATATGAGTAAGGAATGTCAGAGTGGCCAAGAGGGCAAAAGTTATTCATGAGAAAGAATATACAAGCTGGGAGAGGCTGCAACAGTTTGCTTTGGCCTGAGCCTTCTTCGAAGGGCAAGATTCTGCCTCCTCCTTTTCACATCCTCTGCTGAGTTACTTGGGTGCAAAGTACTTTTGCATTTTGAACTCAGTTTGCAGCAGTTGAAGTAAGCTGAGGATGAAGGGGAACGTGGGAGGAAGAGAGAGAAACCAGGACATTTTTAAAGCAGCTGGAAAAGTGGGATGACAGAGGATCAATTGGGACTCTCCCTGCCAAATTGGGACCATGGCAGGATATGGTTTTTAGGTGCAGGGGTAAATGGTGGCCATAAATCAGATGTATAATCCCCATCACTTCCAGGAAAATGTGCATTACTGGAGTGTGAAGAATTTTAGAATTTGCTTATTTATAGGATAGATCCATGTTGAGTGTACAGTCAGTTCAGCAGGCAGCTTCCAAGGAGATGATAAGACCCAGCTTTCTCAATAGACATCTAATTGCAAAGTTGTCTGTTGGGAGATTCCTGTGGTGTACATTAAATACACACATACATACAAAATTGGCAGATGATGCTATGTCTGTTCTCCCTTAATGACTGTGTATTGACATGTATTTGCAGCAGATAATCTGAGACAAGGGATGCACTGAACTCCACACTTATTCCGAGGAGCTGCTCCTTGACTTCAAGGCAGGGATATAGCTATGGAGGAGAGGTAAAATGTGGGCATTGCCCTCCTTCCCCATAAGAATTCTGCCTCTACAAATGATTTTCCCCCTTCAGTCTCCAAATGTATATCATTGCAGTAACTTAAAACCTCAGCTGAACATTTAGAAATTGAGAACGAAAAGGGCTAAGCAAAGGCTATTGAGGGAAAGCAATCACGGCAAATAGAAGAATTCTAGATGTGAATGGTTTTCAGCATCTCATTCTCTGCAACACTAGAAATGTGGGGTCTGAAGGAAAATTTCATTTTTCGGGGGGGGGGGCAATGTCCTTATTTTGCCTCTGCTTGTTGTTACACTCCTATGGATAGGTGCTTCGGCCCTATCTTGGCTGCATCTGCACTGCAGAAATAATCCAGTTTAACTTTGCTTTAACAGCCATGGTTCAGTGCTATGGAATTCTGGGGACTGTAGTTTTGTGAGACATTTAGCCTTCTCTGTCAGACAGCTCTGGTTCCACAACAAACTAGAATTTCCAGAATTCCATAGCGTTGAGCCATGGCAGTTAAAGTGGTATCCAGCTGGATTATTTTTGCAGTGCAGGTGCAGACTTTGTGAGTCTCCTTCAAATAAGAGGGACACACAGGTTGTTACATTTTTTAATTTTTAAAATTGGCACATTGCCACTGATTGCCTTTGTGTGTGTGTATGTGCCTTCAAGTTGCCTATCAACGTATGGTGACCCCATTAATTTCATAGGGTTTTCCTAGGCAAGGTATGACTCCTGAGTGTTTCTGTATTAAACTAGTATGGTAGTCTGATACCACTTCAACTGTTGTGGCTTCATTCTGGGGGATCCTGAGATTTGTAGTTTGATGAGGAGCTGAGTATTATCTATTAGCACTCATTCATTCCCTTTAATTTCCAATCCCAGTGTATCCTGATTTAATCCTCAATTTGTGTATTGTTAAGATTATAGTTTAGGGGAATAGATCAGAGTTCCTTAGCACAGAATTCTTCTGCTCTCTACCTTTCCTAGCATTATTTTCTTTTCTAGTGACCCATGCCTTCTCATAATGTGGCCATAGTACGATAATCTCAATTTGATCATCTTGACTTCCCAGGAGATTTCAGGCTTGATCTGTTCAAGGACCACCCCCCCCCCCTTTGTTGGGGGTGTGTGTGTCTTTTTTCTGGATTTCTTCAAAAAGAGGCTGGACAGCTATGGTACTTCCTGGGGATGTTGTAGCTGCAGATCTTGCATTGAGCAGGGAGCTGAACTCAATGGCCCATGAGACTCCCTTCCAGCTCTATATTTACCGGTATGTAATTTCTCCCTTGCAGTCCTGGTTATAGTCAGTCAGTTACAACCTGAAACCATCACTTTGTCTGGTAGAGCAATGGTTCTCAGCTTCTGCCTCCCTAAGATTTCAGCTCCAAGAATCCCTAGCCAGCATGGCCTGTGACTGGGGATTCTGGGACTTGAAGTATAAAATGTAATTTTTACAAGTTTTGATGATAATTTATATATATTTTTTACCTGACCTTGGTAATAACTGGCATTCTTAGAGTTAATTTCAGTGTAGTGGTGTTAGATTGTTTGTTGAGTTGACTCCCATGGTATGGTGCTAGAGGGTGTTTGTGTGTTAGAATTGGTTAAATTGGGTCTGGAACATCATGCTGATGGACACATTAGCTGAAAAAGTAAGGCCATGAAGGATAAACCAAGATCACTCTAAGTTTGTGGGACTTGGTACAAGTTTATCATTTATGCAAACAAAAATGCCAGTCTTCTCTCTCCCCTTTCATCACATGTTGCTTTTTGGAAAGATACCCTGTTATCATTGTTGTCATATCAGTTGAGATTTCTTATTGAGATAGACAGGAAGCATCAGCTCAATATACTTCATTGTATTGGATCTGAGAGGCATTGTTGGTTATGTGAAGGCTTTCACGGCCAGCATACATAGTTTTTTGTGGGGTTTTTGGGCTATGAGGCCGTGTTCTGGAAGAGTTTATTCTTGATGTTTCACCAGCAGCTGTGGCTGGCATCTTCAGAGAATGCTGGCATAGAAGAAAGTTGGGTATATATACTGTTGGTTAAGAAGAAATGTTAATCTGTGTATTGTTCTGTTGTTGTGTTATTGTTCTGTCAAGGCCTCAGGGTCTTGATTTTGGTGTTTTTCAGGATTAGTGGCCAAACTTGTGTTTGGAAGGTGTGGCATCATGGTTGAGTATTGGACTATGACTGTGGAGTCTAGGGTTTGATTCCCAGCTCAGTCATGAAACCCACTGGGTGACCTTGAGCAGTACATGTTCTCAGCCTCAGGGGAAGGTGATGGCAGTCCTCCTCTGAACAAATCTTGCCAAGAAAACCCTATGATAGAGTCTCCTTGGGGTCGCCATAAGTCAGAAACGACTTGAAGGCACACTATAAGAAGAGGGATCATTTCTATGCAAGGTTGTGAAAGCTGGAAAGTGGGCAGGAACAGAATCAATTCATCTAAATCAGGTGCTGGGTTCTACATATACCACGGACTTCCACAAAGACAAATGAATGGATCTGAGAACAAATGAAGCCCGAATTCTCCCTAGAAGCCAAGATGACTCAATTGAGGCTGTCCCACATTGAACATATCATGAGAAAATGTGACTCATTAGAAAATATAATAGAGTAGGAAGACACTAGGAAAAAAATGAAGACTGTTTTACGGGTGGATTGATTCAGCCAAGGAAACCATGGTCCATAAATCGAAGTCAACTTGACAGCAGATAACAACAAGGAGAAAAAGGGATTTGGGCAGGTGTCGCTTCAGCAGGTATTGGACAAGCCATATCTGCTGAAATTTTTCTAGATAGCTATTAAAGATATAAAAATAGGAGCCCTCTCCAGTTTTCAATCTGGAAACTCTGGCCAGTGGTGGGTTTTTTTTGGGAGGGGGGATAGAGCAGTTGTAGACCCCCTCATTCTCAAATAATTTAGTTCCCCAGAAATGTTTCTCTTCTGTTTAGCTGCATATGTACCATTTATTTGACTGGTTTGGCCTTGATTCAAAAATGGGACTGCTTGCAGGCTTATAAGCTTTAGCTTATTGTAATACAAAATTATATTAATCAAATTTGTTGTTGTGTGGCTTCAGGTAGTTTCTGGCTTGTGGCAAACCTATCATGGGGTTTTCTTGTTTGAGTTGTTGTTGTTTTTTTGCCATGGTCTTCCTCTGATGCTGAAAGAGTGTGACTTGCTCGAAGTCACCTAATGGGTTTCCATGGCTGAGTAGGGATTTACAGCCTGGTCTCCAGAGTCATATAGTCAAATGCTCAAACAACTACTGACAAGTAACTACCATCTTGACTTTAATTAATATAAATATACTATAAGTCAGTATCAAACAATTCCTTCTTCACATGTCAAGAGAGACCTTTATTTTTGAAGAATACCCAAAATTTGGGTGAAAATTTTCCTGCTGTCCTGTATTAGCTCTGTGTGTGTGTCAGAGAGAGGGAGATGAAAATGGAGATGGAGATCGAGGAAGTTTACAAATATTTTGCAGGCCAGATTTTATGAATCTGGAGAGGTAAAATGAGCAGCTTTTACAAATAAAAAAACAAATCTAAGATGTCTCATCGTAACTGAGGCAATGTGATAGGCACAACATGGTACAGCAGCTGGGAGCAACATATGGCATGACGTCTGAGGTAATGCTATGTGAAAATTCATACTTTTTTTTAAAAAAAGTTTCTAGTCCTCAGGAAGTAATAAAATTGAAGCATGCCTTGTATAGAAAATTCCAAATGTCCAGAAATTTCCAGATGCCCATAAACAAAACAAAGCCGAAAAGACTAGACCTTAATCAAATGATATTTTCAGTCTCTGGTACATACATTGAGAAT